CTTCACGATGACCACCTTTTAATTAAAGTTATATACCTACACAAATATTTAGTTTAACGCTTCTATAGGTACCCAAAAAACATTAATAACAATTGGAACTCGAACCGTATTCTATTACTTACCGCGTAAATCAGTCATCATCGATTTTTGCGGAACACGGTTCGTGATCGCAGTAAAATGTAAATTGTTTTGTCTCTCTTTATTTAGATGTCTTTGGTTGAAACTTTAATTTTCACAATTAGTTACTCATTTTACTACAGCTGTAATAGATTATATTTAGCTTAGATATATTATCTTCATTTCAGTAGTATACATGATTTTTTTTAAAATAGATTATATTTTTCTACACACATTTTCCCACAAACCTAAAAATCCGGCAACACTGTATGCCGCTTTTGATTTTGTCTCTCTCTTTCAACCAGTCATTTATATTGTTCTCTGTCACACGCATTAAAATCCAGACCACATAGTTTCGATGACCGGCAGGGTATGTATGGAATATGGAATTTTGAATTCCACGTGACGTCACCATCTGTTCAGAGCATACCCGATGTATGTGTGTCATGATTTTATGAATAGCATACTTTTAATACTGAGTAAAAGTAAACAAGCTGGAACTTGTCATATTAAAAACTATCAGAGCGGTAGTTATCTCAGTCCACATTTTACTTTAAATTAGTTTAAACTTTTTAACTTAAAAAACTAGTCGTCTGACTTTGCAGTTTGGAACACAGAGGGTCAATTACATATGACAATTTCTCACAATAAACAGAAAATAATTTTTGATAAAAATAAATCGCCCGAATAATGGACTTAACTAAATAAAATAAATGTATAAGAGTAATGATAGAAAATTTACCGATCGTAGGTTGTTCATATTGTAGATGTAGCTCTTAATTACAAAAAGAGGAAAGGATCTATAACGATGAATATGTTGGTAAATAAATATAATTAAAATTAAAAAATAATACGCCACACTAAATATAAGAATGCTCGAATTACTCGATGCTGTGAGGACTTTGATTGGACAGTTCTAAATCATATAAAAACCAGAGAGATACAGAGGGGATAACCACCTCCATATCTCTGAATAAAACAAAAATTAATAATAGCGTTTAATAGATGACTTCTTTAACTTTGTTAAACTTGTCAAATATTAGATGACATTTGGTGATTTTACGAAGTTTACAGTACAAGCAGAATTGAAACATATTATTTTATATATACATTCGACAATCGTACATACACTTGGCTAAGACAGTATAAAGGTGCGTCCACATTGCTCTTGATCCTGCTCGCGCTCTTGTCGCAAGCTCGGCTCGCAAGCAACGGCGTCCACATTGTAATGTAGTGCTTGCGTCCGTGCTGTTCGGTCATGGATGATACCGAAGTATTTTTAATAGCGGTTACTAGTGCGATCATTATTACAAAACGAAGGAGACAAAGAGAAAAAAAGGCGGTGTTGGATGTCTAATAATTTCAAAAGTAGATCCCAGCACAGTGAAAGAAACAACACGCGATTTACAAACAAACAGAATGTTTTTTTAATATTTTTTATCGCATGTCCGCTACTGATTTTGAAAGACTTATTAACTTAGTTGGCCCCAAAGGAAAAATACAACTTTTAGGAAGTGTATTCCGGTTAAAGAAAGTTAAATAAAGATTGGCCATAACATTAAGATTCTTGGCAACTAGAGACTCACATACCAGTTTGGGTTATTTATTCAAAGTTTCCAAGCCAAGCATTTCAAAAATAATACCAGGCGTATGCCAAAATATCAATAAAGTTTGAGAACTTTATTAGATAAGATAAGTAGGCAATATAAATATAGAGTTATATTTTATTAAAGCTATATTTAATAATATTAATCCAAGAACAAAACACAAATATTTGTAATTGTGAACGAAACCAAACTAAAAACTTAAATAACGCAAACAGCACGAGCGCTTCGAACCGCCGCGCCGTAAAGTATGCTCGCATGGCTCCGAAGCGTTTCTTTGATGTACCGCGACAGAGCCGAACAGTCGAAACAGGCATTTTATAAGATCGCAAGCACGTGGAACACCGCGAACATCTCGCTCCGACTGTTTGCCATTTTTTCGTGTTGCACGTGTTCGTTCGGCTTGCTGGCGAGCAGTGTGGACGCAGCTTTACAAACAAACAAAACTGTCCCAGATCCTTAATCAGTTGGCAAGTAAAGCAGTGACGTTATTGACTGTTCAGTTATATTTATTTACAAACATATTGTATAATTTCGAAGGAAAATGTGCTAAAATAATTTTAACCCTTTTTCCAAAAGCAGTAGCTTTTCGGTATAGACACTTTTGTACAAATTAGGAGTGTTTTCTATAAAACTAGAATTCTAAACTCATATAGTTGAAGTTATTTAGTTGTATAATTGTCAATTTATGATATATTTAAAAAAATCAACCAAAACTATATTTTATGATGAAAAACATGGTGGCTTGGAAATGACACTCGATCATAATTTTGGCGAGATCAATCTCTGAACTTCATTTACTAATAGTTGACATAAAGTTTGTGGAAAATTTACACTAATTATAGAGATATTAAAAAGGATAGAACATTTTCAGACACAAATTTATTTCCAAAAAATTATGACGAATTTTAAACTACAACATTAAAAAATCATTTTTAATCAATATAAAAATAAATTACAACCTTCTTAAGGCCTTAATTAAAAAATAAAGAAGAGTACTGGCCAAGTAAATGACGTCTAGAGCTTGACCTCGCCAAAATTGTCATCGATTGTCATTTCGATTTTTTTTTCGATTATATGGTATTTCCAAAAGGATGTAGCGAATTTACTTATCAACGTTTACTTATCAATAAGATCTAAGTAGGTATTCATCACGATCAAGACCCAAATATCTTGATGAGTTTTTAACAACTTGTCTCGACTCTATAAGTTTAGAAATCTTGTTTTAGTTTAATAAAAAAAATGCTAGTTAACGTTAGAGGACGATATAGTTCCTAGAGATCCAAAAATTCGTTATAAAAAATTGATAATGGAAGTAAAGCGACGGGTGGTAAATATTTGCGGTTTATCTATAATATGTTAAGGTTAGAAGTAGTCGGCACAAAAAGGAAACCGATACAGAAGTAACTTTTTGCCGTTTAGGTATTTTTTCTAACAAAAAATAATAAAAAAAATACAAAAACAAGATTTTTAGTGATAACATTAATTACTTAAAATATGCGGTGGAATCAATTTTGAAAAGTTTTTGCTGTTGAACACAAATTCGGAAATAATATCCGACAGATATACAGGGTGTTTAAAAACACATGCAAAATATAGTATTTTCAGTTTTTTCTAAAATTTTATAAGATTATTTTTTATACTAGATTCTTATATATCGATAAATATCAATAATTATCAATATATCGCATAACCATACCTTACATCAAAATTATCGATATCTATCGATATATCGAGAGTTACTGATAAACCAATAACCCTCAGTAATTTGTTAGTTATCGATATATTGATAATTATCGACATATCGATAAGTAAAATACATTATTGCTAATCCTTAGTTGCCTGCTGACCCAAGGCTTATACCGGGTGCGTCTCAAAAGTGGCTCACTCCTATAACTTTTTTATTTTTTCAGATAAAAAAAACGAGATTTGGTATGTTAGTATATGACATAAATTAGGACTGATTGACGTATTCAATTGATTTTGGTCACTTTCTGTTTCACCGGAAATGACTACAACTTTTGATTTTTAAATGGCGCCCTCCGTATTTTTTACTTTATTCGATAGAAAATGACATTATGAATAGAATGACATATCATATGTCAACTTTTGACATTCTTGCTTAATAAAAAATTGTATTTTAAAATTCAATCTAGAGTGTCATGGCTATACACTAAAAACACTAATTTTTAACGAGCCTTGGAAAAATAGATTTTATCGTCTAATGTTTTTAGTGTCTTGTTCTGGCCAGTTAGAAAATGCTCAAATCGTATTTTTAATCATATTTATTTATTTTTCAAATGGAACGAGGGTCGCTCGTTAGCATATTTAGAAAAAGCATTTTTTACGAGTAATTTGATACCACGTACTTGGTATTTCGAGTCAAATTTTCATTACGAACCGCAAGTTATAATGTCAAATAAACCATATATGCGAAAATGTCAAAAGTTGACATATGACATGTCTTTCTATTCACAGTTTTTTTTTCTATCAAATAAAGTAAAAAAAATACCGAGGATGCAATTTAAAAATCAAAAGTTGTAGTCATTTCCGGTGAAACAGGAAGTGACCGAAAACAATTAAATACGTCAATCAATCCTAATTTATGTCATAATACTAACATATCAAATCTCGTTTTTTTATTTGAAAAAATAAAAAAGTTATAGGGGTGAGCCACTTTTGAGACGGACCCGGTATAACAAACAACCCTTTTTTACCAGTAAATCACTTAAAAAAAATTTCGTATTTGTGTCGAAACACCCTGTATATAAGTCTTTTTTTAATTAAAAAATTTTTTGTAATGTAATATAGATAATGAGGACTTGCCGTTTTGAAAGCTCCTTTCAATATTGATTGCACTATACCGGGTGTCCTAAATAAGAATGCACTATACTGGGAGATTAAAAGTTGTAAGGAATAGAAAGATGTTTAAATGGAAGGGAAGTCTCTTTTAAAATAGTTTTATCCTGGCATAACATATGACTTTACTAGTTTATCTCTAAATATAAAAAAAACTAGCAAAAATATATTTTTCTTTCATTTATTTGACAGTCTGCTTTTTTACAATTTTTGATATATCCCGTAGGGTGTATTCTTATCCAGGTTACTCCTTTGTAAATAATAACTAAAGTTAGCAAATTAAAAACAAATATAAATATAACTTTTCTAAACAAATCATACTTCTCTTGCACCTAAAACTTGAGAGTGCAGCATAAAAATATTTTTAATAATAAAAATGTACGTATAAAAATCCAAAACGCTTTTTCTTTTTTGTTTCAGATCTGTTTCAATTTTTATTTGGATAAACGTGTACAGAGTGTCGTATTTTTAAACGCCCCCCCGAAAATATTTTGAACCACTCTGTACTTTTGGTATATCGGGTGACAACTAAATCGTTATATAAACCACTATTCAAATGTATTTTATTGAAATACAGGGTGTCGCAATATTCAAGGGACATAGAATAATTTAATTCGCATTTTTGGAATCAGAATTAGTTAATTAGATACAATTATTTACCTTTATACAATTTTTTTTTATTTATCTGTTAGAGGGCATCAGTCACAAATAAATCCAAACGTTAATTTAATATTTTTGAAGCTTACTGTCAAAGATTATTTGTGACACAAACATAAATTTCCACATTTCGTCCAACTAGATTATTATAACCTACTAGATATGAATGTTTGATATAACAAGAAATGTAGTTTGTATTTTTTCTTTTCTGAAAAGCTATGACGGGTCAATGATACTATATTGAACAGGTTGCCTCGTAACTTTTGGACCAATAGAAGCGAAGCGACAACTACGTCACAGGTATGCTACAGAACGCAGTGGCGGCTCGTGAGTATATAGGAAGGTGACACTACATGAAGTTAATAATTTTGTTTAAATACGAATAAATTTTCTCACCTATGAAGTATTAGTCTAAGAGCTAGCAACGTTTTCGAGAAAGTATTTTAAGACGTCTGGCTCTTTGATATATATTTTACTATGCTCTCTGGAACAGCATACGGCCCGTCTGGCTGCCGATACCCGTTGCGTTCACTACTGCGCATCGAAAGAAGATCCTATATTTTTTATTAATTTAGTCCTATAAATTCTAGTATTGAATATAAATCGAACATGTCTCCATAACGCAGTGCGTAGAGTTTCCGACCACGAACCGAAGATTGGGAGTTCGAATCCGGGTCAGGTCAAAGACTTTTTTATTTTGTTTTCGTTTATATTCTGATAGTAAAGTATTAATAAATAATTATGGTGATTCAAAAACAAATATTTAATACTTTACTATCAGAATATAAACGAAAATAAAATAAAAAAGTCTTAGCCCTGATCCGGATTCGAACTCTGAATCATCGGTTCGTGGTCGGATACTCTACGCACTGCGCTATGGAGACATGTTCGATTAATATTCAATACTAAAATTTAAAGGACTAATAAAAATACAGGATCTTCTTTCAATGCGCAGTAGAGAACGCAACGTTTACCGGCAGCCAGACGGGCCGCATGCTGTTCTAGAGAGCATAGTAAAAGATATATCAAAGAGCCAGACGTCTTAAAATACTTGTTTTTCCGACGTTGCTAGTTCTCGTACTATATTATTCCGCGACGCGTTATCCTTTTTTAATGGTACCAAACCTATGCAAAAATATTTGAAAAGTTTTTAAATACCTATTGTCTACCTTGCCTCTTATCGTTAAATATTGCGAAAATATTTGACTCCTTAATATTTATTTGTCTTTTTTCAGTTTTATTTTGTCTTAGAAAAGGAGTTTCAAGTATAGAAAGAATTACGTTATAAATAGGGATTCATTTTAAAGAAAACACTAAAATTCAGCTCCTCTTCGGTACTTTAAAACAAATAAAATAAATCTTACCGGCGAAGAAAAGCCTAACCTTCAAATTTCAACAATATTTGTTGCTTTGGATTTTAAAAACTGCTAAAATTCCAACTTACCCTGTGTGTAATCGAGTTAAAAATACTGTATCTAATAGCTATCAAATAATTTAAATTTATAAACACAAACAATCTAAATAAATCTCGCCCTAATTGTCTAAATAAAAACAAAAATATACGCTAATTAATTCATCCACGCTGTTCTCACCACAACCGGCCAGCTACCGGCACTTTAACTTCCTGAGTCCTGCATACGAGATCGAGACTTTGTCGCATTTTTCAATAGTCAGATGATTTAAACTGCCAATGAAAACACACCCAAGCGCCAAATATTGCACCTCAACCACGCCTCAACCTGCGATAGGCCGAGTACGCATTATAAGCTACATTCTAAATCAATTCGCTGGCCAAGTCGTACTTTGGCACACAAGCTTATCTTATGTACTTCAGTGTACTCATTCACAACAAAATTCGACGCCAGAGTGCAAGTTGAAGTTGGATTGAAAGCTTGCAAGCTGCAAACTTCCACTTCAGCACGGAATTTTCGTTTGACAATCATGACAAATTTGACATTTAAATTTTAATAATTATTTTGTTTGTGTCGTTGTTACAAGCCATTTTCCTGTGAAATTTAATTATTAAAAGAAAAATGAGTGAAGGACGCTATTCTTATTTTATTAGGACTTGTGGCTTTGCTGTTAAAAAAACGGCAATTATTGTTGCAGCTCAATAATTAGCTTGACCGAAAACCAAGGGGTTTACCAAAACCCAAAAAAATGGGGTGTCCGACCTATATTAATGGCGAAAAAAAGTTTTGGGTGCTTGAGACACATTTTAGAAAAAAATCATCAATAAATGACGTTTTTGTTTCCATTTTTCTAAACATAAAAACTTGGAAAACTTAATTAACAACTGTCCCGGATTTTGACTCTTCCAAAATCAAAACCAACAACTAACCTAAAAAATGTCAGGAGAACGTTTAAACACGCATGCGCAAGATTCGAATTGAAATTTGTTGTGAATGGTTAATTTCGTGCCGACTTTAACGTCGAAGTGCCACTCGGCCAGCGAATTGATTTGGAATGTAGCTTTACCCCGTCGTCGACTGTCGCGTCGCATCTCCGGTGTCACATGATCTTAAATCGTCGCTGCTAATAGGTAGACAATTCGAACTTTCCAAGCTAGAATTGTTTCGCCTCTGTGTGTCCCTGTCGAGTCGCCTTCTTTTTGGCTGGGTTTACGCGGCTTACGTTGTGCCTGGACCTGGATGTATTTATAAAATACATATTTTTTAGTTTTATTATGTTGAATGTGTTGTAGAATTGTAATAGGTTATACTGGGATTAAATAAAAAATTAGATACAAAAAAATAAATCGTTACTTCATTTTAAAGCTGAGGCGCGGACTCGGACGTCCACCCTGACGACCCGCCAAAATTATAAATGAATAAAAAATAAAATGCATCGGTCAAAGAGAGATAAATGAATGTACATTTTTGGGCAATGTAATAAAGAAAACAAACATCAAACAACTGAAAACTATGGACGCCTTACACAATTAATATCGATTCGGAAATGTACTGTCGGACTATCGGCAGTTTTTATCCCTTTATCTATGATCGGCCGCATACCTGTGACGTAGTTGATGACGTTTCCGATAATGGCGGATCGAGTTACGAGAGAACCTTATCTTTTAATAACCTTGATGACGGGTGGTGTTTTTTACAAGAGAAAAAAATGTAGTGTATACTAAAAGGACCTTTTTACCAAAAAAAAAAACAGTTGCAAAACATATCTACAAGAAATTATGTAACAAACGAAACCTAAAAAATGTAGGTACCTGAAATTTCATTCAAATCGGAATATCGGTTCATAAAATCAGTGTGTTTGATGCCCTCTAACGGACAAATGAAGCATTTTTGTATAGAGGTAAACTGTGATCAATTAATGGTTAATTCATACTTACGACTATTAGTCCTAACCCTACCTCTGAACATTAACCTTAGGAAATTAACGTTAATAGCTTAAAATAATAGTTAAAATGCCGTTTATACTCTCCAACTTGTCCTAATAATATTCTGTTATGCGCTTGCGGCCATAGAGAGTGTTTCATAAGTAGACTATTAGTATTATAGTATAGTTATAAATACTCTAAATAATAAATCTAGAGTATGATTCCTTATATTATGTTTCTAAGAAAAAAAGTTTATATGAATATGGGGTCTAAAGTACTTCCTCTCTGATCTACAGGATGCTAAAAATAAAAAAAATTCTCGCAATATATCGGAACCTACTTTAGATGTTTACTTCAATTTTGGTATCTGGTGTCCAGGTATAAAGACAGTTTATTTCTATTAATTTTGTTTTCCTATTTAAACCAATGGCGTTCGTATGTACACATTTCTGAATTATTTGCTTAAAATAAATGGTACGCCATTGTTTTTTCCGACAAAACATTTTTTTTTCTTGATTGTCAATGTTTAACAAAATTGATCTCTTGAGTTTTTCTTATACATCTAATTTTTGAGAAAAATAAATAAATCAATACATTGCATATATCAAAATCGCTAGAAAATGAGCATACATGATTTTGAGATGTGCCATGATTTTTTTTCTCGAAAACCGTTCAATATACAAGAAAAACTCAAGAGATCAATCTTGTTAAAAGAGGATGGATTATCAAGAAAAAAATCAGTGGCTTGCCATTTATTTTAATGAAATAATCCAGATGAGTGTGCGTACAGACGCTACCGATTTAAGTAGGCAAACAACAGTTAATGGAAATAAATTATTTTTACACCTGCAAACCACATACAAAAATGATGAAGAAAATATTCAAAGTAGTTCCCGACATATTACAAGAAAAACTCAAGAGATCAATCTTATTAAAAGAGGATGGAGTATCAAGAAAAAAAGCAGTGGCTTGCCATTTATTTTTATCAAATAATCCAGATGTGTGTGTGTACAGACGCCAAATCTAAAGTTGTTTCCGACATATTGTCAAAAACACATCCTGCAACACCCTGTAGATCAGAAAGGAAGTACTTTAGACACCGTGTTTATATGAACTTTGTTTTATTAAAAACAGATGAGGAATCACATACTCTGATTTTTTTTATACTACCTAGGAGACCCTGTATAACGCATATGAGTAGAGGAAGAAGGCTAATTCTGCATCAGAAGCAAGAAACAGGAAGTGACATCAGACAAAAAACATTAAACAAAAAAATAATAACAATAAACAATAAAAAGTAAAAATATAAAATAAAACAATAAACAAGAAAAGAACAGGTATAAACAAGAAACAACCGCCTTGTTCCATTACTTATATGTTTTGATTTAACCTAACTTCACAACATTTTTTGAAATCTGGAGAGACTAATTTTCACCAAGGTAATATAATACTAGCCCCAAGAATATAAAGATAATAAAATAATCCATATTTCTTAGGAACCGTTAGGACTAATGTTACAACCAGACATAACTTATTTTTATCCCAAAAATAAGTGGTTGTTTTATGTCCACGGAATATTGTGACACCTAAAAACAATCCAAATTCAATCTGTGTAAAGAATTTCTTTGTCACCCGGTATATTAGACTTATTTTTTTGTTTGTTGAGTTGTAATAGGTTCACTTATGTAAATATATATTATAAATACAGATGTAATGTTACGACTGGCGTGAAAGTTGTTCTGTATGTATTTTGTAATGATTATTTGATGCTTTGATATAATAATTATTATTAAAATTGTTTGTAATTATATGATTTAATGAGGATGTGTATTATCCCTTTACTTAGGGGCGGCTGCTATAATATCGATGTACTATATTTCTGGTTCTGGATATGGAACATCAAATAATAACTTAGTCTATCAGAAACATCTTTGTACAGGGTGTCCCATTTTGGTTGAAATCATACGGTATCTCCGTTATTTGTGAAGATAGAAGGGTGCGGTTTGCACAAACCTGTGCCACTTTTTTGTCAAACGAAAGATCCCGTTAACAAAATTTTCATAGCTCTCTTCCTTTCTGAGCTACAGGGTCTTTCCGAAAATTTTGTAATTTGGGACAGCCCCCGTATCTCCGTTATTATAGATGATATCGAGAAGATGAAAACTGATTCTTGTA